CCCTCTTTCCCTCCCTTCCTCCCTTCCTCCCTTCCTTCCTTCCTGTCCTGATTCAGTCAACACTTATTTGAATTACTTTGAATATCTATAAAGACCCAGGCCCTCTTGTCCTTAACCCTGAACTCTTGCTCCCACAGGTGCTGGTGCTGAACTTGGAGAGATAACCTCAATCCCAACAAATGCTACTGGGCCACTGTGTTTACTCAGTCCACCAACAAATGCTAACCGTCTGTCTGGCCAGGAATAGTGGGATGAACAAGGCCAGTCTCTGCCTTCAGGAGGATCCCAGCCTAACAGCCAGCTCAAACACACCCACAGAGTATCAGAGCATTTCTTACTGGAGCACCTACTACGCGTTAGAGCCTGTGCTCAGCACACACAAATCTGCTCTCATTAATTCTCAGCATCCCTGCAGAGGGAGCATTGTTATCCCCATTTTACAGATGCAGAAGCTGAGAATCAGAGAGGTTAAAGGTCATGCCCAAGGCCACACAGCTGCTCAGTGGCAGATCTGGTTGTCCTCCCAGGCCTTAGACATCCCACTTTTCCAGGCTGCCTTAAACGCCAGGTAGAAACACATGTTTCTAAACATATCCCAGCTATGCTGGGGTTTACATGAGGGAGAGACCACTTCCTCCTGCAAGCGATCAGGGAAGCTTCTTGGAGGAGGTGCTAGTAAGACACGAAGAAGCAGGAATGTTCTGGGTCTCTGAGTGAGGTGATAGAGGGCTTGAGCCAATGCTAGGTGTGTGTCCTGGTTGAGTCACTTGGGCTTTCTGAGCCTCGATTCCCTTACCTGTCACATGGGCATGATAATACCTGCTTCACAGGGTGGTTGTGAGAATAAAGGTTTTTCAATATCTGGGCCCTTAGAGCAGGGTTTCCTCAATAGCAAACACCATTGATATTTTAGACCAGATAGTTCTTTTCATAGGGGCTGTCCTGTGTCCTGTGGAACGCTGGGCAGCATCTCTGGCCTCTACCCTCTAGGTGCCTGAGCAACCCCCCCAACCAGAAATGGTGGGACAGCCCAGCCGGTGTGGCTCAGTGGTTGAGCATGGCCCCCTGCACCAAGAAGTCACCTGTTCGATTCCTGGTCAGGGCAAAGGCCCAGGTTTCAGGCTCAATCCCTAGTAAGGGGCATACAGGAGGCAGCAAGCAGGTTGATGTTTCTCTCTCATCCATGTTTCTATCTCTCCCTCTCCCTTCCTCTCTCTCTAAAAAAATCAATAAAAAAATATTAAAAATATCTTTTAAAAATGGTGGGACATTTGTAACAACCAAAAATATCTCCGGAAGTTGTGAAACATTCCCTGGGGGTCAAAGCTTCCACTGAGGGCCACTGCCCTGGAGATATCCAAGTGGCCCTCCCTGGGCTCCCTCAATGCCCCCTTCTCAGGGGGCTTCCCTGACCCCTTACTTAAAATTTCAACACTTTCCCACCCCCGTCTTTTAAATTACAGCATTTTTCCCCTCTAACGGATCAAGTTGTTTACTATTTATTTTGTGTTTTGTCTGCCTTCACCTATTGATGTTCACACCCCAAGAGCTGGGATCTTGGGCAGTTTTATTCATTGATCTGGTCTCAGCACCAAGAACAGTGCCTCGCACATAAGTGCCCAATAAATGTATGTTGAATGAATCAGCAAAATGCACACAGAAGCACTTTGTGACATAGAAAATCTTCACCAATGGAGAGATAGAGGCATTTCTATTTAAATTCCACAAGGGCCTGGACCTGACACCCTGGATTTACCCTCCCCTGCCCTCCCCATCCACCGCCACCGCTAAGCAGGGGCGCAGATGACAGCAGCTTAAAGCAGGTTTTTTATCTTCTTTCATGCCCAGGCTTGAGTGGGAGTGAATGCGTCAGTGCTTGGGGAGGAAAATGCTCTCTCTGACTGTATCTGCAGGTTTGTTATATAAAAGAGAGGAGCCTCCTGCCTGATACAGCCCCACAAAGCCACATTTGGGAATTGACGTAGCTGTCTTGCACCAGCCGAGCAGCAGCCATGAAACCCCCAAGCCCCCTTCAGGGCCTCTCTGGCTTGTGGACCACCTTCTAGTCCTGCAGGGGCTCCCAGGGGGTCACTTAGAGCCACAAATGTCAGCATGGGCAAGGACCTCCAGGGTGGGCCTGGCTGAATGCTCATCTTTACAGGAGGAGAAACAGAGGCTCAGAAAGGTTGAAATACTGCAAGTATCTCCCAGAAAAGTCAGTGACCAAGATTAGGACAGGAACCTGATGGTCCTGAAGCCCCAGGCTGCTAGATAGGGCATCTAGGGTCCCCTCAGAGGCTCTTCTGCACCTTAGCTAGGAGCCCCCACTGCCATCCCAGGCTAAGTATAAATAATCTTCCCCTCCTCCCACTTCCAAAACTCCTCCTAGGCATTGGAGCCTCACGGCACAGAAGACAAGAGCTCCATCTAAAGGTGCAGTAGCTGGGACCGGAGAAGGCAAAGCATCTCCATCCGACCCCCCTCTCCCAGGGCTCGCTACCCCTAAACACCTCGGGCCTCAGGAAGCAGGAAACCAGCAACACTTGGCCTCCGCCACCTCTGCCACCTTCACCCACATGCTCCCTGTCCCACTGGTGGGTTTTCCACACACAGAGGGACTCGGGGAGACAGTTTGCTCCATGGAGGTGTTCCGGAAGCTGGAGACTGGTTCTCAGGCTCCCAGACTCACTGTGTGCCCTAAGGCAGGCTGCCACCCTCTCTGAGCTTCAACCTGCCAGACAGTCTGGGTACCCTCTGAGGTTGGGGCTGACTCAGATGGTTGTCAGTGGCTGTGTGGCCCACAGAGGTGGTGAGCACACATCCACGCTTCCTCCTGCATCCACCCTCTCCTGCCCTACTTGCTGGCTCTGCATCCTCAGGCCAGTTTCTAAACCCCTTTGGGGCTCTATCTTCCTCATGGCAGGCGGGATGGGTACAGCACGCCCTACCAGGTCCCAGGCTCCAGGAAGCAAGTGACTGGGGGTGTGAACATTTTCTAAGCTATGCTTGAAGGAGGAAGACAAAGGCAGGGAGCTTAGGGCTACAGACCAGAGCCACAGAGATGAGCCCACTCCATGAGCCGCAGTGACCTTGACCTCCACTGGTCCTGGGACCTCTACCCCTGGGGTGGCCTTGAAATCAGGCCAGAAGAAAGTCCCAACTGTGGCCTAGCCAGGCTGAGACTCAGGAGTCGGGACTTCAGGTTACATATTAACCCTGAGTACCACCAAGGCTCCAACCTAGCAGGAGCCACCCCTGCTGCTTCCAGCCCCCACCCTCCTGAACCCCACCTGGCACCCTTGTGCCGCCCACACCACCTCCCTGAGCCCTATGCAACAGCAGCCTCGCTCATTAAGCCAAATCCTTCCTTCCAGAGGGGCAGCCCTGCATCCCCCCGTGGCACTTTCCTCAGGAGGGGGCTGCCGCAGACCTCAGCCTGACCCAGGAAGGGTCTGGTGCTCTGACGTCAGGCCTGAGAGGCAGAAGTGGGGTTGGGGGCTCCCCCACCGTCCCCATGCCCCTTCAACCTCACTCACCCGCTAGCAGCATGGTTAGGTGGCAGAGGGCAGCCAAGCCGAGCAGCCGGGAGAGCAGATGAGAAGCCATAGCTGAAGGCGGGCGGGGGCCCGGGGGGATCCAGGTAGGGCGAGGGCCCGGCCTCGGCCTGGCCAGCAGTCGCCGCGTCTCCAGTAACAGCGCTGTCAGCCGGGTTTTATTGCGTTGGCTCGCGGTGCCCAGCCTCCGCAGTCTCCGCCCTCTAGACGGGGAGGAGAGTGGCGGGGAGCCAGATTCCTTGGGATGTTGCCAGGGAGCTGAGGAGGCCCTCAGCCTGGGGATAGCGGGCTACTGCTCCCATGGCTCCTCAAACAGGAACCTGCCATGGAGGCTGGACCAGGACTGCCAGGGTTCAAAGGGCCGCATCTCTTTCCATATGCCTGGTCACCTCCCTCCTGGGAGCTGGCACTTGCCCTTTGGCCTGGCCTGGGGCCCTAGCTCCTCTGTGGGCAATAAGCAAAGGACGGAGGGGCCGAGGAATAGAGAATGCTGGCTTCGAGCAAACTGGTGGGACCCAGGGTCCTGCCAGTCTGGGCCTGACAAGCTCTCTCTCATCTGGCCTGGGGGTATGTCTCCTACTCCACAAAGGACCCCCAGCCTTTACCCCTTAAAGCCCCATCTCCTGGGGGACCCTGTTCATCCCCTTAGCCCAGCCTGGAGCCTGGTAAATAGGGGCTTGGTACAGTAAATGTTTGCTGAAAAAAATGATCCAGCCCAAAGTCATAGGGACAGATGGGGAAACTGAGGCCCAGAGAGGAGGCAGAATCCCCCCAGGTCATAGAGAACATCAGGGTGGAAAAGTGCCACAGGGAAGATGACTAGGCATGAGCAGGGGTGGGAGCAGCTCAGGACACAGAAAGAGGCCGGGTCTCCCTGCCTCCAGGCCCTCTACCTGTCCTTGCCTCCTTTGCACCAGATTCCGTCTCTGGCTCTGGCCCCCTGTGAACAACACAGCTACCAACCTTACCCAGCTAACTCAGTGCTTATCCTTAACTCCGCAGTGTCTCCTGCCGCCCTTGGGGCCTCAGTTCTTCATCTGTACAAGAAGGGAGTTGGGTTAGTCCACCAAGGAGGGAGCTTCACAGCTCTGACTCACCAGGACAACAGGGCCAGGCATGACCAGCCAGCAGCTCCCACCAAACTGGTGTGAATACCAGCAGGTGTTGGGTGCAGCACGGCGGTTGTTTTTTTGTTTGTTTTTAATACATCTTTATTGATTTCAGAGAGAGGAAGGGAGAGGGAGAGAGAGAGAGAAACATCAATGATGAGAGAGTCATTGATCGGCTGCCTAGCCTGCAACCTGGGTATGTGCCCTGTCCGGGAATCGAACCCTG